AAATCCAAGATCGCCAGAGACGCCATTCTCATCTTTTTCTGACATAGAACCAACTGGTTTCTCCGGTGGAATCGATGATTTTGTCGCAACTTTTTCCTCAATGGAAATATTCAGATTCTCGTCGCATCTTCCATTGATTTCTCCTCTTCATACTCAAAATCACCAGGAATTCGACGAAAGATTAAGCTTCTGAACGTTGTTTGCAACATTATCATGGTCTTGCTAATAGAGATCCAATTTTCGCTTCAATGGAAACGATGACTCTCTGATGTTCAACGTCCGCCATAGATGAATCTTCTTCTGTCTTGGTCTATAAAGAATCACAGGTCTTCGTTCGATGACGATTCAGAGAGGTCTTTGAGAAAACTCTAAATTTTAGATATTTAAATGTAAATTTCTTTCGTTATGTTAGTGATTCGACATTTTGGAGAAAGAATACTCCACGTCACCAGGACGAGAAGCAGCCTCCATGCGAACGTGAAGGTAAAATCGTCTACATGGATCTTTTTTGGTTAGTTCTTTAAATTGTGAAACTAGATAGCTATATTTTTCGATTGTTGTCCCAATATAGTTATAGAGCTAATTCACCCTTAAGAATATCATAAACATATTGTGATTTATTTTTTTAATGCAAACACATATTTTCCGCATCGTTAGATCATACAAAACACGGCCTAATGACCGAATAAGAGATTAGGGGAAAAAAAAAAATTCGAATCTCGAACCACACCGACACGTACTTTGGAAGTGGTATTTTCGTAATTAACTTCAAACCCGAGGGGCATTTAGTTGTAAAACTCTCCACTTCAAAGTCATTCCCTTAACGGTGTCGTCTAAACAAATGCCTCTTTATCTAAACACCTTTTCTCTTTTGTGTTTCTAAAAAAAGTCACCTCTTTTCTTCAGACAACACATCTCTCTGCATTTCTTTCTCTCTCTAACCCCTAAATTAAAGCAAAAGCATCTTTCTTTCTCTCTCTAAAACCCCCCTCAGACCAAAAAAATCACCAC